GTAGTAAGCAGCAAAAGAAGAGGGAGAACTGCGTTGATATTCGGCCTCTTTTACGGGATCATTTCACAAAGTACGTGGAATGGGATGTATAGCAAAAAGAAGGGAAAAGAAATTAAACAGTGAAAGGAAACACAACAGCGAAAAAAGAGGATTAATAAAGTGTGTGCGTAGATTATGCGAAGGAGGTAAGCGGGAGAGTTACTACACTGCAGGGACAAAGTTGCGTGCGGGTGGGAAGGGAATTACTAGAAAGAAAGAAAAGAAAAAAACGAAAGAGAATCAGAAAATTACCCATCAACCGCCTTGTCCTCATGGTTAAGTATCGATTTCATCATCACACTTGTCTATTTATGACATATTTAGTTTACATAGTCAAAGTTTTTTTTTTTCTTTTCAATTTCTTGTTTTTATTTTTATGTGTTCTTCTATTTTTTCACATTAATATAAATGACATGGAAGCAACTTTGTTGGCACCTCGGCCCTGGACACTGAGTCGCATATGAAATAAATGTTTGACCATGATGGTCAACCCAAATTTCGGGTTAAATTTGTTCATTATTTTCAAAAGTTGGCCATGACCCTTTGAAATTTAAGATTTTTAGAGGAATTTAAGGTTTGATTAATATAAAAGCAATAAAGAATAAATTCATTTAATGGTTTTGTTATAACGAAGCCAATAGGCAAAATAAGTATAAGGGACATAAGAAATAACTGAATCACTTGTTCTACGGTTAGTCGACAAAATAACCGATAACCTACTATATGATTATGGTTAACCTATTTATATAAATCAAGTGATTAACGGTACAAAAATTATTTAATGATTGACTGATAACCTCAAATAAAAGGTTTAATTTATAAATTATAACCGAACCAATCCAATCCAATCCGACTAACATCCCTAAAGGAAACAAATAAATGCGGCAGTACATGAAACATAATTGTTAGAAATCACAGCACAAGGACTAATGCGTTCAATAATATAGTACAAGGACTAGAAACACATTTAAACAGAGTTAACCAAAACTGGGAATTTATTCTGATGTGTCAGCGAACCATTGGCGAAGCGAATAATGAAAAAGAAAAGGAAAGAGAGAAAAGATATGAGATAGAACGAAATAAAAAATTGAAAAGGACTTGTTACGAGACGACTCCTCCTCTTTTTCTTTTTTCTCTTTTTTTTCCCATCTCTCTCTCTCTCTCTCTGCTTCGTCCTTTCTATTTTTATGCGTTGTGTTTTTTGTCTGGGGGCGGAGGGACGAAGAACGATGAAGATGAACAGCAAACCGCGGCTTTCTCCTCCACTCTTCTCTCTCTGAAGAAGCAGGAGACGAATACGAAGACGCAGCAGCGGGAGGAGCTGTGGCATGGAACAAGAGCTGGCCATGCTCCGCCAGCTCATTGCCCAGCTTCAAGACCTCTTGAACTTCTACGGCTCTCCTCCTCCGCCGCCTCCGCCGCCGCTCCGCCATCACCACAACCACCACCTCCTCCTCCCTCACAGTGACAGGTATCTATCTCTACCTCTCTCTCTCGGTGGATCTCTCCCTTCCGAAATTGCTGATTCTTCTGTGTTCTTTGATTGGGGGAAATAGCAGTATTTGGTTCAGATTCTCTAATTTGAGCTTAGTGCGGTTCTGACGATTAATCTGTGCTAAGTAATCAGGTTGTTGAGGTTAATCAAGTGTCCGCGTGAGTGTGAGAGTTTGATCAGTTAGGTGAGTTTGAGAAATGGAAATCGAAGGAGTAAATGATTTAGTAGTTTCTCCCTGCCGTGTGATGCGATACAATGTGGAGGTTTTATTTGGTTTCACCTCTTTAAATTTTCCGGGAAAACCTTTTGTTCTAAAATTGCTTTGCCGCTACTCTTGATGAATTCACATTTAGCTCTATTTCTCCATTTCCTCCACAACCCATGATTACCTTCTCTTCTTGAACTGGTTTACTTTGTGATTCTGAACCTCGCGGGTTTTCGATTTCTACTGAATTCAGTTTTGAGTGGAGGGTAAGCTGAGTTTTTTTTTTTGGGTTCCACTTTTTTAGGTCTTTTGGCTTCATAGTTTGTGGCCATTTCTTCATATGGCAGTTCCTTGATTGTTGTTTGTTCAAGAATTAGAGTTGCTGCACCTTATTCTGTTGACTTAGGTACCGGGATATCTAACTATGGGGTTTTACCTCCCGGTGATTTGGCTCAATGGTCCTCCAAAATGCTTCCTTATCAATGTCTGTGGTTGGAGCCCTCTTAAATTATCTCTGGTTTGGTGATGGAAATCATGGGGATTTCGGTTTTATAAACGTGTATGTGTTGGATTGTTGATGGTGGGCGTATAAATGAATGAACTGCGATTGTTATTGAGAAAGAAACACAAGCTTGTCATGTAACTGCTTCCCATATGGAGGTTTTCCTTCAATTTTTCACACATTTCCTCGCATGTTGTTATTGCATTTGTGAATTCGTTGGTAGCCTTATATGAGATTGCTGTTGTTTGTACTTGTAAGTGTCGTAATACAGGGACACCTTTTACCTTCTCCAATTTCTTAACCCAACCATCCTTCTCCTGACAACCCAGAGAAATGTAGCAGTAAATTTTCATCCCAAAAATTTCAGGTACATTGTTGTCACACATTCAACGGAAAAAAAATACATTATTGTAACACCATTGCGACTCATTGTGTTCTTTGTTGCTAATGCCTGGGATTCTGGTATACTGTGAGTGAGCTATATTGTGAATGCACTTTCTTGATGCTTTTTAGCTGCATTGTCTAGCATTTGTTGCTGTACCATGTGCATTTAATGCTGGTTTCGAAACAGTCATGTCTGCGTCATTTGTGCAAGATCCGGATGCTGCCTGACACTCCTAGTAGTGTTGATTGCTGAATCTGTTGAGGAGCCGTTTGTGAATCTCTCCCCTTACATGCTTGAACTCCGTTCTTGAGAGGCATAATTATTCGATATGAGGAGTTAAATGGACTGTTGGTTACTATTGTCAACTAGATACAGTCTCTAGGCTCGTGTCATGCTGATAGTGGACTGAGGTCTGGAAGTCACTAGTATGCCTGATACACTTCCAGGCCACGAATATGGAACCTAGAAGCCGGCAAACAGTTAATAGATCCAATTAACTGTTCTAATTCCCTGTCTCTGCTAATGTTCATCTCGATGCTTTAACACTTGTTTTCATGATCACTAGTGAACTAGTACTTTTGTACAATATAAAGTTAATGAGTGGTTTGTGCAGATGTTGTGTCCTCAACGTGGAAGACGGCTCTGCAGATGACTACTGCGGACTCTTGATGGCTGCCGAAAAGCCTGAAACTTTCACAATGTTGGAACCCACCAATCCTCCACCCTCAAAGAAAATACGGAAGGAGCGCAATACTCGCGGCAAATTTCCATGCTCTACTAGCACAACAGAAGCCATGGAAGCTGAAATCTGGAAGGATTTCCCAGAAGACCTCTTGCAACCTGTCATCGCCCGGCTACCTGTTCCCGCGTTCTTCCAGTTCCGTTCAGTCTGCAAGAACTGGAACTCGTTGCTGCACTCTGAGAGCTTCTCCCAACACTCCGCGCAAGCTCCCCAACCCGACCCATGGTTCTACACCATCACTCACGAGAATGCGAACTCGGGAGCCATGTACGACCCGTCCTCGAAGAAATGGTACCACCACCCTACGATTTCCTCTCTTCCTGATAAGGCGATTGTCTTGCCAGTCGCTTCAGCGGGAGGGCTGGTCTGCTTCCTGGATATCGGTCATAGAAACTTCTACGTCTGCAACCCTCTGACTGGTTCTGTCAGAGAACTGCCTGCCCGTTCAGTCAAGGTATGGTCTCATGTTTCAAACATGATAATTAGGAATTTTTTTGCGATTGGGTATGGGTACTTTTCTCTTAAAACACGTAAATTCATGTCAAGTACTTCTAATAAGGAAATTTTGTGATTGCGTACATTTTTGTGATTTCGTGCTTTGTTATCGTGAAGGTATGGTCTCGTGTTGCTGTCGGGATGACCTTCAACCGGAATGCGTATAAGATTCTATGGGTAGGTTGCGATGGTGAGTACGAGGTTTATGACTCAATCAGCAACTCATGGACTAGACCCGGTTCAATGCCAGCCAGCATGAAGCTACCATTATCTCTCAACTTCCGGTCTCAGGCAGTTTCAGTTGAGAACACGTTGTACTTCATGCGTTCAGATCCTGAGGGGATTGTCTCGTATGATGTGGCTTCCGGAATGTGGTCCCAATTCGAGATACCGGGCCCATTACACCTGAGTGACCAGGCACTGGCGGAGTGTTCTGGCCGGATCATGCTGGTGGGCCTGCTGTCCAAGAATGCGGCGACCTGCGTGTGCATATGGGAACTGCAGAGGATGACGATGCTATGGAAGGAGGTAGACAGAATGCCAAACTTGTGGTGCTTAGAGTTTTACGGGAAGCACGTGAGGATGACTTGCTTGGGCAACAAGAAAGGTTTGCTCATGCTGTCATTGAGGTCGAGACAGATGAACCGGCTCGTCACGTACGACGTGGCGAGCGGTGAGTGGGAGAAGGTCCCCAGTTGCATGGTGCCACGTGGCGGGAGGAAGAGGCAGTGGATCGCCTGCGGCACTGCGTTTCAGCCTTCACCTACCGCCGTTGCTTGATATTTCATCAAACTCCCTCTCTGTACTGGTAATGCTTTTTCCTCGTTTTTGTGTGTTTTGGTCGACAACGAACGATCTGTAAGACTGTAACTGTATGTATCCTGTTATGTTTTTCAACTAGAAGACGGTGCATTCGTTTTTCTTTGATTTGTAACCGTTGATTGTACAAACTATGTCGAACAAATAACTTGTCATGTTTGCAGAGACAAATGAATTGCTTGCATATGGTTGGACTTGCAGGTTGAAATCGGCAGTGCGCTAGTTCCCTTGTCATTGATGTACCTTCAAGTCATTGGCATTGTTTGCTGAGCTTTTCCGCATTTATCTCAAAGCACATTCTTATGTCATTTTCATTGTGAATAAAGCTTTCATGAGCAAGCCAAACATATAGAACAGAGGTTTAAGGCAATCAAAGCCTTGAACAATCTGTGACAGGTCTCTACACTATATCACATCAGTTCCTACTGTTAGTTGAATTCCAGAGCATTCGTAGATATTTCGGGACACAGTGGCTCGAACGGTGAACGAAATTCATACATGGTACAACTTTAGTTTTTGATCAATAGATTATAAGGAGATTTAACGAAACCGTTCATTATCACAGTGCACGAACTCATCTCAACGCATCATTTTTACTCTTTTCTCATCAGTACATGCTATAGATAAGGGGGGAAAAGAACATGCGAAACAACTCATTTTCGATTGTCATTCTCTAAAGTAAAATCAGTTCATCCGCCATACTTAAGCCATGCCTCCACTTGTTGCCGTCCTGATTATCTGGAACAGAGCTGTTGCCAAAAGGAAACCACCATTAGCAATCCCATAGATCGCAAGTAAACAACTAAAAATAACTCTTTATCTGAGATATCATCAGTCATCTATCGCTAACTTTGAACTTTCACAAAGCGGGTTCAATCCAATTCTGGTGAGGTAAACTAAGGACGGCAAAAGTTCTTCGTGCAGAGCATATTTTACATTTTTATAGACCCTAAACCAGGAAAATCATGCCAATCAATCAAGCTGAAAGAGTCCAGCACCCACGACGAAACCTCTAGACAGTGCAGTGCAATGCTTATGAATTGAGACGAGATCTACAAACAAAGATTATTGAGGTGAAAAGTAGGCTCACATGATCCAATGACGACGAAGATGAAGAATCCTAGGAGGAAAGGCCCAACAGGGTAATCCTTCCCCTTCTTTGCAGTGGCTTCAGGAACAGCTCCTCTCTTCATGATGTTCTTGTCGAACTTTGAAATCTTCCTATCCGCAAGTCTCTTTGATGTAGTCTGTTAGTAACACAGCCACAACCAGATGGATCAAACCATATCAGAACGCCATTGATTATCAATACACAGCTGCAACTAAATGACAAATCAACAGAGAAAAATATTCATCACACAATCCCTAGTTTCAACATCAAATTTCTCAACTCAGATTCCCCTTGTAGATTATCAATTTCATCATCCTAGATAAGTTGCACGAGAGGGAAAGACAAATCGCCACAGAACCATTCACCATGCAACCCCTAGTTTCATCATTCGTTGTCAAATTGTCAATTGAGAAGGACACTGATTGTCAATTCATCGCCCACGGAAAGTTGCAACCAGCAGACAAATCAACATACAGTGCTATTTCATCATGCAATCCCTAGTTTCATCAATCCTCGTAAATTTTCGAAACGATCTACACGATAGAACACCAGAAACATGCAGTCGGACACCAAATCACCCCCGATCCAAACGAAAACTGGCGGACTGATAGCTGGATCGGATCGGATCAATACTCACTAACACGACGGACGACCAGGATTTCGATCTACGCCGGAGGAGAATAGCTCCAACCAAAAGAGAAAGGAACGGCATCGGGGAAGACACTTACCATGTTATCGACGGAGAGAACGTGACGGACGGAATCAGTTGAGAGAGAGAAAATGTCGGAAAGAAACACCAACAAAAACTCGAAGCAGAGTTTCCTCCTCTCACCCGGCGAGCTCGTTCTTTCTCTTCTTCTCTTCCTCGCTCTCGCTCCGCCCTTTTTCTCTCTCCCCCTTCTCTTTCAAACCTGAATTCCTGATCCGTCTCTAATTCCCCAATAACTGGCCCTCGCTTATGTGTTTTTATTTTCGATTTATAGAGAAATAAAAAACAAATTTTAGGCCTCTGGGCTTTCCTTTGCCGTTTCGTCATGGGCTTCGCTGTGATTGGCTAACGCCTGCCGAATGGGACAGGCGGCTGGATTTTATTTGATGGCCGGCCCACGTCAGACTTTGAGTTGGCGAAACCGCCGCGCCGTGCAGCAGTGGTGTCGACTGGTTCGCGAAATTCCGGAAACGGTCCGTCGTTTTGATTTTTGAATGGTTTGATGACAAAAAAGAAAAGGAAAATTAAAGAGCGATTTATAAAAAAAAAATTAAAGGGGCATTACATTATCCTTCCACGCGGTCGCCTGTCGTGGTGGGCTCGGACCGAAGAAGACTTGCCACCGCGTCACGGCCCACATGGACATGGTTTAGTAGTTGCAAGTTGCAACCATCCATTAACCGAGCTGGTTTGTTGACCAAATTCCACTGTCTTTGTGTTAACAAGCGCAGGACCCGGTCCGTTGGCCGAGATAATTTTTTGAGAAATATAGGGGTTGTTTGCTTTATGGATTTGGAAATCCAATCCATCATGGATTTAACAAAAATTCATTGTTTGCTTGCACTTTTTTTGGAGACCAAATCCGTGGGACCCACGGATTTTAAATGTCCAAATTCGTGGACCCCACGGACTTATAAATGTCACATGTTGATGTGAAATTTGGAACATGGCATAAATTCTTGATGAGATTTTACCCATATACCCTCATGCATTTTTAATATTCCAAGGTTGCCCTCAAATTTAACTATTATACATTATAATTAATCAAGTAACTAACAATGAATGAATAATATAAACATTCAATTAATGTGCAAACATGAGTTATATTTTTTATATCATTTCTTGTGTTCTAGTTTTCTTTGACCTTTTCATTGAACGTGTAATTCTTTGTTCTCCCGATTTTAATATATATGTTGTTATATGTTACTTTTGAAAAGGATGACAAAGAATTGGTAATTGATTATGTTACGTTAACAGTTAAACAAAATTTTCTCGTTTATTATTATTATTATCCATGTAGCAACATTATGCTTATTAGTGTGTATTATCTTTGTTTTGTGTACATATCATAAACATGTCAAACATATAGAAAAGGATAGTAAGGTAATTTTGAAGTTTTGTCTTTGTTTTGTATACATATCATAAACATGTCAAACATATGTAGAAAAAGATAGTAATGTAATTTTAGACTTCAAGTTAGAAATCCCACACCTTTAAATCCATGATAAAAACATCTCAACAAACAAAGGATTGTTACAAATCCATGATGCCCCAAATCCTTGATAAATCCTTGGGGTTTTAAATTACAAAACCCTCGTTTTTAAATCCATGAAGCAAACGACCCCATAATATATAATAATTGATATAATAGATGATTTAAAATGTAAGAAATTATTGTTTTGTATCTTAATTATGCACATAACATTTTTGAAAGTGATCCAGCTATACATAATTTGTTTAGACCTCCATGAAAAGAGACAAAAATATTATATAAGTGTTTGAGCCGCGTACCCCTTGGCCTCACCTCCTTCCGAACCACGACTCGAGATCTCCGAAGGAGCGCCCGGATCCTACACAGACAAGCGCCTAAAGGGCCTCTCGGTGCCCGTTAGCACTCCAACGCTCAAGTCAGTGCAAATTCTAGAGAGATAAGTGCTCTACAAGTTTTTAGTGAAAGAAGCCAACCTGTGTAAATGCCACCTACCGAGTACTATTTATACTCGTTGAGGTCCAGACCAGGCTCCTAGAATTCAGTTCCACGTCAGCCCGTCATTAAATGCTCGGTACGGCCCAACGGTCGGGCGCCTACACGTGGTAGCTTCTGCCTAGACGCTCGCAGGGACCACACTGCCAGGTGGCGCGTCCTCAGTCCACTGTTCCCCCTAGATGCCTGGTCCCCGCCCTACTTTTGTCACTATGCGCCCGATCACCCTTCATTGGGCTTAGCTCCTATCCTTCATCCCATTCTCCAAGTTCTAATGTGGGCTTGGGCCTAGATAGCCTTCCACGGGTCCATGTCCCCCAATGGTCCATTCATGCTCGAGCCTTAACCGTTCACTTGAGCCCGCTCCTTCATCCCCTCTCATGCGCTTGGGCCTGGGCGCCCTATAGCCCAACAATACGCATTACGTATAATTACTGAATGAAAAAAGAAATAAATATAAATTGTCATTCATTATGTAATTAAACCATATAGTTGAATATTAGACTTGCTTCTCATAATACATACATAATCAACCTTTAAAATAAAAGAAAATGTCTTTCATAGAGCTTAGTATGTTTTTTAAGTTTTTCCCAAAAGAAAACATTCTTTTTTACCACACAATTGGTAATGAATCTAAAGTTGTTTGATTTGAAATATATAGGACATGGTGTTAAGTTGTTGCTAATAGTTAGTTGGACAAAGTGTCGTGTATGGACTTCCCAAATTGTGTGTTTGGTTTCCCAAATTGTGTGTTTGGTTTCCCACAATCGAAGTTTGGCTTCTATATCTGCGTTTGATAGGCTCACATTCTCCATCCATTCGGCCCTGCTTTGGGTGATACCCAGTCTACTCCTTAATCTGCCAGTTGACGCTACCCAGTCTAATCCTTAAACTCTCAGCTAGTTTTAACTCAGTTGTAGGCTAGTAGGGAAAAGTTGGCCGACTTATCCAAGCATAATTAAACATAAATGAATCATAAATTCACTAAAACAAACATATCATTCATAAATCCTAAAACAATTACATCTACATTTAAAACCTAAATCTAGGGTTTTGGGAGTTTAACCCCTAGTCCTTAGAGAACTACCCCATAAAGTGGGGAAGAAGATACATGGAAGAAAATAGAAGAAGTCTTGATGTGGTAAAGCTCAGAGACAACGAGAATAGGTGCATCCCAATGGCATCCTGCGTTACGCCATTTTCCTTGATCCCATTTGTCACTTCCAATAATCAATGGGGGTGCTTTCTTGCTTCTTAGTGTGCAGCCCGTGGAATTGGATGTTTCTATGGATCATCGAAATTATTGGATGCAATAGGCGAGTGCTTGATTAAATATCGTCAACCTTTGGGATTAGGTGGTTACCCAAGCTCTTCTCAGCTTTCCGCTCACCGCCGGGTGGTGGTACTCGTTGCTCTTTCGCCATTGAGGAGGTTGGTGATTTGAAGCTAACTCAATAGTTCGCTATGGATCCCTTTCTCCCCTAAGGTTGTGCATGTTCTGGTTGATATTGTAGTAAAGAGGCAGTAAATCACCCGGTTGGCTACGGAGCATGCACCATCTCTCAGTTGTCACACACGAAAGCAAAAAACAACTAAGAAACTCAAAGGGTGAAAAACCCCAAAAAATTAAAAGTAAAATAATAGATTCATTCATTTCTTAGTAATCTAGAACCACCCCTAACAACTTCCCAAAAACTCGACTCGCTGAAACTACAACCCAATCAATGGTCAAGTGCAACCAATAACAGGAACACAATATAGTGACAACAATTCTCCTAAGATTTTAATTTATAGGATTGGTTATAAATTGGATGAACATCAAGTTATCATCCTTACTTAATATTATAGGGATTCAAAACAAAATTAGTGCCACATAGGCATATAGCTAACTCTCAATAATCCACGGTGGACTCTACTAATTCCTCTTTTTTTTTTTTTACAAATGTGGGCTCTTTTATTTCTAATTAATGATCTTTTTTCTTACACTTAAATATATAAGCATTATCTCAACCATCCAAGGGGACTCTTCTAATTCCTTTTTTTTTTACAAATCTGGGCTCTTCTTATTGTAATTGGTATTTTTTTTTTTTGCTTACACTTTAAATACATTATTATTATCAATAAAATGTAAATTAAGGAAAGAACAATGTTTAATTTCCAATGCATTCTATGGGTTTGCTTCCATCCCTTTTCCCGATAGCTTATATTTTTAAAAGGAAAATCCAACACTGGTAGGAAGAAGAAATAACAATTTGGATAAAGTCATGTAAAAAACAAGGAAACTATCTTCTTATTTACTCAAAATTTTGGGATTTCTTGCATTTCTCTCTACTTTTTTACACAATCCCGATAGCTTATATTTTTAAAAGGAAAATCCAACACTGGTAGGAAGAAGAAATAACAATTTGGATAAAGTCATGTAAAAATCAATGAAACTATCTTCTTATTTACTCAAAATTTTGGGATTTCTTGCATTTCTCTCTACTTTTTTACACAAAGATACATGGGAGGAAATGACAAGGCATATGGAATTGAGCAGTTATAACATCTTTTTGGGTTGTTAACGAAAAAACATTCATCCCAACTTTGCAAAGACGAAGCGAACCAATTTGAGTATTGCGAATTGCTCCCTCTTCCTCTTGATCTTCAACTGGCGACATGTCTCTCTTCCCCAATGATTTGCGGTTGCCTGCAGGTCGAGCGGCCAAGTTCTACTCTTCTACTCATCCGGTATCCCTTTTGTACCAAATTATGGGACAGGTCAAAAATTTGCCTACTTGATTATATTAATGGGTTTCTTATTTGTTTTTCAAGTTGTTATTTTACGATTATCTATTCTACTTTAATGTAAATAGGTAACAAATAATTGGAAGAGTTAATTGCTTGGACTTAGAGCATCTCTCCTTGATTGAACAATTGATCGTTTTCTTTAGAGGCCTATGGCATCATGATTCCATGGGCCCTGGAATGGAAAGCAAAGTTGGGAGGGTATGATGTTTTTGTGTTTTTTTCTGTTCTACAGTGACCACTAGCTAGCTATACAATGATGATCTTATCATCAAGTAGTATTTAGGAGGTGTTAAGTAAACGGGAAATATGTGGTGTTTCATAAAGGCGATTAAGAAGAAAGAAAGCGGTTGTGGTAAACAGTGTGTCTATGTCGATGTTCTTTCAAATTTTACACGTTTACAATGACATTTTTTTGTTTCCTTAGTTGGCAAGAAAACAATTAGGCTGAAGTCAATCACTGTTCATGGATGGGGATTGTATAAGATAGAATGAGTTAAGTTTTATTGAAGTCTACCACTTTTATTATTAGTGTGTGCTGAAATTAGGTAAAAGACATCATTCCGCAGCATGAAAAATATGTAGATCTCTACTATATATAAATTGTGTTTATATGCAGTTTAGTTTGTTGAAATATTATTTTAATAAATTAGTGACAACTGATATTGATAGAACACTGCAAATGCAAGTTAAATGAATATCGAAAGATTTATGATGTGGATGACAATGTTTTCTTTCAAAATCTGTTATCCTATACCAGCAAACGAGAAGGGAGAAAAGGATAAGATCTTCACGTGTTTTTATTAATTGTAACCTATTTGCTTAATTTTAACTTCTTCGTTTGTGGTCTTTTATTTTTTTAAACTTCTTTGGTCATTTTTGCTTGATATATAAAAGAATAATAATCTCTTATGTTGTTTAACAGTAGTCGACAGGTTCGATACTAAATGAACGCGTGATATAATTATTTCTATTCATTTTGTAATTTTGACATCCTCTACTTATACCATAAACGGTGGCTTTCGATACAAAATTCTATATCAATAAAGAACCATCTTCAATAGCTAATTTTATGAAATTAAAGTTTTTATATTAATAAACAAAAGCTAAAACGTGTGAAACAATTGCTTAAATAAGGCATTTGAGTTTAATATTCCATGTATAACAGTATAACATATATGAGCCATAAAAAGATTAGACTATTACAACGATAAATAAATAAAAAATGCACCGCCCAACGGGCGGGGTGAAAAACTAGTTTAAGTAAGATTGCATTCAAACTCAACTTTTTAGTAATCATTAATCTCGGAATTTGATGGTGAATAAAACAATTAGCGATGTAATGTTGATGATTGGATCACACACTCTACTTGATGTTGTATAAATGATTTAGTGATCAAAATCTCAAAAGTCGATATGTCCGAGTGGTTAAGGAGACAGACTTGAAATCTGTTGGGCTACGCCCGCGCAGGTTCGAACCCTGCTGTCGACGATTACTCTTTTTTCATCCTCCTTGTATTTCTTTTAATTCCACACGTCGATCCTCAAATTTCAACGAATTAACCTCCACTCTTTTTTTTCCAGTTACCTCCGTCTTTCTCCCCTTCAAAGCTTCGCGTGACTCCTAAGCCGTAAGAGAGAAAGCAAAAAGAGAAGCGGCGGGAAGTGCCAGAGAAATTTCTTCGGTGAATTCGACCTCCATGGATCCAGACGCCCTTGCGAAGGCATTCGTGGAGCTCTACTACAGCACGTTCGACAGCAATCGAGCAGGATTGGCCAGCCTCTACCAGGACGGCTCCATGCTGACCTTCGAAGGCCAGAAGATCCAGGGCTCGCAGAACATCGTCGCGAAGCTTACCAGTCTTCCTTTCCAGCAGTGCCAGCACAGCATCACAACCGTTGATTGCCAGCCGTCTGGTCCCGCCGGCGGCATGCTCGTCTTCGTCTCTGGTAACCTCCAGCTCGCCGGCGAGCAGCACGCTCTCAAGTTCAGCCAGGTTTGCGCTCCTTCGACCTCGATTTCGTCCAATTTCGTTTTCGATGCTTCTTCCTGGACCTTGTTAGGGTTAGTTCTTACTGTTTTTTGTTTGAATTCTGATCTTCCGCGAGTCGATCATAGTTAGATCGATTGCAAGATTCGGATGCCTCGATATTGAACGATCCGCTGAAATTTTAGGAGAGTTCTGTTAGGAATTTAGCGTTTTGGCAGCTGGATTAAGTTACATCGGAGAATACTGTTTAAGGTTCCCTTAGATCTGACTATCCTTATCTTTCTGTGACTTTGAGAGCTTGGCACTGTGGCTAGCTTTGCTTGCGAGCTTCGGTTGTTGTATACTCGCTAGATTGTGTTGTTCCGTAATTCGCAATTGGCAATTGTATGTTTGCTGGCCTTTGCTTCTGGTTCACCGGAGTAGCTTGGAATAATAGGGACTCTTGAAGCGTTTACTCCCCTACTGTATCTTCGTTTTTTGCTGTCACCGCAGTTTTGCATTGAGCTCTTAGCTTTATTCCTGTTTTTGCTAATTGCATCACCCATTCCTTGCATCTTAGGCATAATTTTACTTCTAGTCTAAAAAGGTTGAGAGATGACTTCCATTGATCGACCGTACAACCAAAGCTGATATTCGTTTAGTCTTTAGATACTTCCTGGCTTCCTGAAATACCCTAACATTTCATTTGTGTAGCAGAGAGATATTCAAGTGCTCTTTTAATCTTTAGAGGTTAAAGGTTTTTGCTAATTGCACGATGATTCTTTGCGTCATTTTATCTTTGGAATATCTTATTTTATTCTGGTATAGAGAGAACGAGCGATGACTTTCCATTGTTCGACCATGCAGTTGAGATCTTATTTCCTTTAGATACATCCTGCATTAACCTGAGAGTACAGTTGTGTAGCAGAGAGACTGTCAATGATGTTTCCATTATCAAGCAAGTCTGACTAATCTCCCAGGACATATTCGGATGATACTTTTTTGATAACATATTGTGCTGCTATCTGAACTTTAGAAGCCATTTATGTTTCTTTCCCAGTTTACATGCATACATTTTTGCTGTGCTTATGGGTGTCTGAGGTTTTCGTACTAAGCTCTTTAGTGTTACAAAATGCTTAGGTTTAGCTAATTGATGTGAACACTTCTTCACTAGCCATTAATCCTCTGGCATTGTCTTGTATGAGACATCCTCGTTCTTGATTGCTATCTTCTTGTCCATTGTAATGTTGATATGCTGTGCATCTTTTGATGAAATGTGAACTGTAGAGAGTAGAGACTTATTTGCACCGATCCTCCAGCTGACCAACTTTTTCACTGGTTTCTGCATTTTCAGATGTTCCATTTGATGCCAACTCCGCAAGGAAAATTTTATGTGTACAATGACATTTTCCGGCTGAACTATGCATGAAGGACATCGATTGAGGAGAGAAAACGTCCTATGTAAACCGAATCTCCTTGGTTAAAAAAAAAAAGTTTGCTTCCTTTTCTGTTCAGTTCTAGACATTCCAAATGGGGAAACTCGCATTTTTCGGTTATGTTTGGTTCTCTTTTATCTCTTTGTTGTCTCTGAAAGTTAAAGAGTGTGTCGATTGTTTGAACTTTGAATTGTCGAAAGTTGCTCCTTGACACTACTGTTTAAATTGAAGAGAAGGATTGGTGGCTGTACTGAGATGAGATATCTTCGAAACTTCATTTGACTTCTCCTGATATTCTTCACATTCCGAACAGGTATCCAAATCAAAGCTAGCTATTCAGTTGGTGGAAGTGAATGCAGAACAAAGAGGGAGCAGGTCTTGCTGGGAGTTGTTATAGCTGCAGTTGTAATAATTTCATTGTTCTAGTCATGTTTCACAGGTGACAAGTTGCTCAACGCTCATTGGAACAGACGACTTTGAGCAACTTGGACGAGGATTTACATCATTGCCCCTCCTGCTTTTTGGAGTTGGGTCGAGTAAAATATGTATAAGCAGCCTGGCGTACAGAAGCGACAGCATTCTGCCCAGTCTTCGCCAAATGCAGAAAAAGAAAAGACTACAAATGGGTTGATACAAATACACAGCAAAAAGCTACGGGCGCCATGGATGCAAGCTTGGTTGCTACCACTTGTCTTCACCATTGAACCGAAACTCTACGTGGGGAAGCTCGGGGATCTTGATCGAATCGGACTCCTCAGCGGAATGTTTCTTCTCCCCGTCCTGCTCCCTGCGCGGAAAGAAGCTGCTCAGCAACGACCTCACGGGATGGCTCAGTTTGTCCTTGACGGCCAAGGCGATGGACACCTCGGAGACTTGCCAGGCCACCGTCACGACGATCAAAGCAGAAAGCAGGCAGTGTGTGATGAAGTTCTGCCTCTTCACCTTCTTAATCTCCTTCACTAGCTCCTCGTCTGCATCGGTTTCCTTGCTATTCCGGCCGGAACCTGGTTTCCGGTTTCTCAACCTGCTTTCTCCGCCTCGTGGAGAGCTTGCCTCCGATGACCCGGGTTGTTTGAGCGTCCCTTCTCCTTTCAGCGATTCCAACTGTCCACGGTAACGTATAATCATATAATTGTTATCTTCCTCTATGTTCTTCATTCAGAATCTAACGTGGTCTGGTCTGGTCGGGAGGGAATTGGTTGTTACCTCGGCGAGTAATCTGGAGAGAATAGGGCGATCTTTGTCGTCCAAGGAGATGGAATCGGCGTAGGCTTCTTCTTCTTCGTTCTTCTTCTCTTCTATTAACTTCTGGATTTCTTCGGTGAGAAACAGCAACTTTTGAGTCGATTCCATTGCCCTTTTCTCTGATTCTTTTTGTTCGATCATGTAAATCCGTGAGGAGGGGGTTGTGATTGGAGTTTGGGGAAGGAAAGCGACGGATGGGAAAAGAAGGGGACTAATCATTTGGCGGAAAATGCGAACGATGGTCGAATTACTGTAGGACACGTGGCTGCATCCTGCATGTCCATGTGTTTCTTTCTCCCGTGCTGTCGTGTGAATTGGCGTTTCTTGCGGTGCTGCATTCATTTCGCTCACTTCTGAATTTTGTTCTACAAAGTTGTGGGCTTTGCAGTACATGGGCTCTGAGCGGCACGTTTTTGTATCGTGTCGTGTTTGGCACGGCCGGTCAGTTTTTTATCGTGTTATGCAAGTCCATTTGTTAACTTTACTAGGCCCGGTCTAACTCCGGGCACAGTTTGAATCGTGTCGTGCCTATTCGTTCTCGTGCCATGCTCGTATTTGTGTTTAATGAAAAGGACGAAACTAAAAGAAAGAATGAAAAAGAAGGTGAAAATTGGACGGGGAAGATAGTATTAACCGATAATGTTTGAGAAAAGTAACAAATAAGGGGGAAAAGAAAATTGGAAGTATAGCGAGTGTGATTTGGCTTTGTTTAATTCTTTGTCCATTTTTACTTATTTAAGTAATTACGTATATATCTTGATGACACTTCTAACAACAACAAATAATTATTTTTCTACTTGTGTTTTGTAATATTTGAACCTATAATTCTTTTAATATTTATTTTTTATCAAATAAATATTATTTTCGTGCCATGTCCGTTCTTATACTCAATAAAGTCTCGAAAATATTAGGCCTGACACGGCCCACTTATATACCTTGTCGTGCCCGTGCTCGTTCCCGTGCCCATGAAGTTTACGGCCGGCACAGCCCATAAATTTTTCGTGCTCGTGCCGGGCTGGCCCATTTATTTCGTGCATGTGCTCGTGCCGTGCTCTAACAGTGCCGTGCGGTACTAGCACGTGGGCAGCCTGGCCCGGTGCCCACGTACCTATGCTACTATCGGTTGGTGTGTCTTATTTTATTTAGGGGTCGTTTGCTTGTGGTTGTATTTGTTACCTAACTATCGAGTATTATGGATTTGATAAAAAAAATACATTGTTTGTTGATGTATACAAATTCGTGAGGTTTATGCAATTAGATTTTTTTAGTTTCAAATATGTGGATCCCACGTATTGCAAATACCACATTTCATTTGGTATTTGGTCATAGAATGCAAGGATTTGAGACCCATGGTACAAAAATCTTTAAATCCATGATAAAAATCAACTAAACAAACAATGTTATTTTTTCAAATATAAAATGAAACAAATTCATCATAAATCCAAAGATTTTGAAAATAAAAAACCTTCATTTTCAAATCAAACAAGCAAACGAGCCCATGTCTCATGTCTTTAGCTTTGGAAGTTCTGCAAAACTTTGGAATGTGCCTATATATTAGGGGTGGCTATACGGTCCGGTCCGGTTAAATTGGACCAAATTGATCCGGTCCCGGTCCGGTCTTTTCGGGAATATAAGGACCAAAGATTGGATTGGATACAGTCCAGTCTTGACCCGGCCCGGTCCCAATTTGATCTTGATTTTAGATTGAGCTTGTGGGGATTTGAGTGTTGGGGTCTCTTATCCGGTCTTTATCTGGGGTTTTTTTACCTCAAATCTAAATCCGAATATGAGATTGGATTGTTTGCTATCCGGTCCCAATCCGGTCCCGATCCGAATTATAAGGTCCGATTTCGGGTAAAACCAAACAGTTCGAACCAAATAGCCAGCCCTACTATATATGAGTCTTTTCTTATCCCGTGGGAATGAACTAAGATAGGAGACCGGACTGGAAAAGTGGAATAGTTAACCCGAAAGAGAGGGAATGCATTCGAAACTACAAGGAAGGTTAACTCCATCTTTGTTTTTGTTTCAGCTTTATCTGAAGAATAGAAATTTATTCTCTTTCGGTAAGTCTGATCTTATTGGTGGATGAAGTATATTCAGTTTCAAGAAATGGGAATACGTTAGCCCAATAATTCTATGTTGAAGTAAAGAAATACATTTTTCGGCCATGACCCTAGCCCTAGCTTTGCCGTCGTCGTACTCCCAATTGCAGCCAGGTGTTGGTTTGTGTTTTCGGTAGTACGAGTAGTATTATGTTATACTAAGAGTACTGTTATGTAATTGATCAGAGATATTGTTTGTGCCTAGTAGATACTAGGCGGTTTGTGAAGCTGGAGCGAGGCGCCTGTTCTTGGACTGAGGGGGGGCGCTCCGGATACTCTGCAAAACAAGGGTCCAGGGCGGTTGCCCGGGACACTCTCCGAAGCTTAAGTTAGAGAGAGAATGGGGGAGAAGGGAGATTTATGTAGAGAGATGAGTAGTAGTTGAGTTTACCATAAATGAGCTTACTCTGTATTTATACCTGGTTCGAAGGTAGTTGAGACATTAAATGCTGTGTCGGGCGCCCCGGGCTGTGTCAGGCGCCCCGATCAGGCTTTTTACCTTTCTGCAGGCCGCCTGAGGCCTGCAATAAATGCTCAGTCTTGCCTGACACCGGATACGCATCTTCAACGGCTCCCTGCTCCTCTGCGTTGCCCAGTCGCTTTATGTCAGACATCCTTATCCGTTTTTCGGGTTTGCGGCCGGTCAAGGACCGCCCGCTGACCCGGTCTTCTGATCGGGCCTGGCCTTTCCTATTGGGCCTTAACTGCGGATGCACCCTTCTTGGGCCAGAAGCCCAATTACGCTCAACTACGCGGCCCAACAGATATATTCCTTATCGAAGTTGTATTAGTGTTAGGGTTATTATAGAAGTCAGTCTCTGTACTTTATATAAATCCATGTGGTTTCAGTAATAAGACACAACAGTTTTCACCGTATTCTGATTTCGATTCACAATCACCTGCTTCCAACACTGTGTTCAAATCAATGGTTCGAGCTTCCGCACTCCACGATCATCAGACGGAAGCAACAATAATTTATTTATGTTTCAATTATAGAATTAAACCTACACATCTACGCCATATAAAAATGACTGGAGGTGTTCCAACTATTATTTAATAATGTATGCATTCAACTATTAATTGTGAAGGTAATCAATTTGATATCAACAAATACCGATACCAACCAAGGTACTCTGGAATTGGAATTGAAATACCAAATTTATTTTGCAATCATAATTGACATTTACTTTTGAGTCACTATTCAACGTTCGTAATTTCAATATTTTGTATCAAAATACCGATACCGTGCTAATTTCCACCCTAGTGGTCCGTTTCACAACTTTTTTCCAGATGGTAAATCATTTGGTCCATTTCACAAATGTTAAATCTGTTTCGGGTTACTAGAAAAGGAAATGGAAAAGCACTACACAACCATTTACAAACAGCAAGCACAAGTCCTTACACAGCCTGGGCCATTTACAACTGCGATGATAGCACAGCACTTGCCCATTCAAGTACATCAGAAAAGAAGCATTCACAATATCAAAGAATGCCATTTACACCAACGTTGAAGCCTCAAAGAGCAGCTACCCTCCAGTCGCCTATCTCAAACAAACCTGTATTCGATGCCCCCGCACCACCAAAGCTAGGAAGTAGACATGAATTGCCAGAATGGGGCTCTACTTCTACTGGAAATGGTGCTGAGTTTCACTTTCCATTGTCGACGCACTGGCCTGATTTGAAGTTCCTGCTTCGCTGCTGGCAGCAAGTTCAGCCTAGCATGTTTGTGAATATTAGTGTTTTCAGTCCCCATTCAACGATAAACAGTAGAATGTTCAGGATCACAAGTTCATCGTTGGATTTGTTCATCAATTGTTCAACTTTCTTTAATGCTCATCAGTAACAAAAGCATTTAGACCCGAACTACCGCGCTTACCTTTGCTTGTTTGTAACGCTCGAGCATCCTTTGATACTGCTGACGTGCCTCTGGAGACTTGACCATCGACAGAACCCGTGACACTGCCTCATCGATAGTTCCATCAACCTTCTGTTTACGAAACATCTTGAGGATGTCTTCTTCATCTTCTTCTTCTTCTTCGTCCTCAACAATGGGGTCCGTTTCGTTCCTTAACCCACGCAACCCAGCTCCCTTTCGCCGCCACCTCAGCACAACTTTATCAATAATCCCAACTGCCCAACAGATTACCCTGTAGTGCTTCCTCACCTGATAACCTCTCACATATGCCTGCAATCAAACGAGAGTAAGAGAATATCTCATTTCAAGGCGGCTGATCAGCCATGCAACTGGAGATATAAACGCGGTGATTTTAGCTTTAAAAAAAGTTGCACGAGAAAAAAAATTACTTTACAGACCGTTTGGTACCAAATGAATTGAGAATTCATTTCATTTTAAAATGAATTACTATGTAGAATTTATTGTCAAATGAATTCCCGTGTTTGGTAGTCATATTCAATCTTTATAAATAAATGAATTGAATTCCCAAACCATGTTTGGTATATGTTTAGAATTGAATTAAATTAAGAGTTTCTCCAACTACAACCTTATTAATTTTCGGGAAAAACAATATTCATTGAAAATTCATCTTCTAAAAAACGTCATTGGTCTCATCCGTAGAATATCAAAAGTGTTCTTGTGTGTTTCTATTCTATTAATTAGTTATTTTCTAATATTTCGTGGATGAATCCTACAATCTAGTTGTGCCTTCTCAAAGTACTGATACAATTGAAGCAAAAATATAAAATAACTAGCATGCTACTAGTCACTAGAGTTGCAATCAAATTCTTGGTGACATTACCATTCAAAAAAAAAAAAACATTTAAAAAAAAATCTTGGTGACGTTTCTTATACTGCATCAATTGGCGCCAAATAATATATGTAGAAGTAATTTCGTTAATAAATGAGCTTAAGTCATTCTATTATAATTAGTAAATACTTGTGGAATTCATTTGCAAATTCCTTCTCAATTACTCGAAATTGCTATAACTAGTTCCAATTCCGTAAAATTCAAAATTTAGAATTGCAAATGAATTCTTTTAAATACCAAATATAAAAAGATTTCATTTCAAAATAGATCTCCCAAAACTTATGGAATTCATTTATACCAAACAGTATGTTAAACTTGAAACAAACACGCTTTTTCAATATAATTTCTTAAACCATTCAAACTCTTCAAAAAGGTCACAAAACTAAGACACTCTAAAAATAGTGAAGGCCAAAATTGGAGTCCTAGTGTCATTTCATCTTCCTACTTCAAATATCAAAGAAAACCAACGAATTAATACCTGTATTTTCACGATTTTCTGCCGCAGGGTAAGGAAGTCTTGTCGACCCCTCCAACCACGATACTTCTTCTGGATAGACAAAGCAGCGGAATTATAATCACGTGGGTTGCCAAAAGCCATCTTTGACAGCGCCGAAAGCCCCTGGATGTCACCATATAAAATGCCATACTCGTCTGCAGCAGCTAGAGCTTCCCTCTGCTGCCGCCTCCTGAAAGAATGTGCACGGAAAGCAGATTGTATCCGGGCAGCAGCCTGTGCTGAATTCCGAACAGCAGCCAAACTATTCTTCATCGAGACCTGATCTTCAGAAGCAGGAAAGCTCTCTTTCACAATACTATCCATGGTTCTCTCCGCTTGAACCTCAGCCGATCCTTTGGATAACTCACTCTCCTCTAACGTGAGTGAGGAGAGATGGCTTGTCAGTGCCAGCTCAGAGAGATAGCCAGCAAGTCCATCATGGCCATTGATGGCAGCTATGGAAGCTGGGGTCTTTCCAATCGGATCTTGTGAAGTAGGATCTGTCACAGCTCCAGCTGAAGCTCCGGAAGCTATTAGGGCTGCAACCATTTTCTCCCTGAGAGAAAGAAAACAAGTAAGATAATAGTATCCTTGACCTTGATATGATGCTGAATGGAATTGTAACATCAACAGTTGCCCTGCAAATTATCTCCGAGAGCTATATTTTAACTGATAATGACAATTAAAGTGAAAGTTACTAATAGTTCTGAATAAATATAGCAGTGGCAATGAGATTTCACGATACGAGAAAGTGATATTATGGTCTTGAAATATCGATGTCATGGAAAAGTGTAAACATGTGACAACAGAAACAATTCACTTTTTTTTTTTTGGTATAAAAAACAATTTACCTATGGAAGATCAAATACCAGAATCCTTACCTCCCAAAGCGAGCAGCCCAATGAAGAGCAGTCCAGCCATTGATATCCCTGAAATCTACACTGACTCCACGACTAAGAATGGGGCTCAAGGCCCACTCAAAGCCCAACCCAGCAACCATGTGTATAATCCCTTGCTCTTTCTTGGACAGATATTGACCAGCAGGTTGATCATCTGACGACCCATTGTACTTGGAGGAAAGCCAATGAAGCAGCTTATCCTTGAGAAGTTGTTGCAGAAGCCAATCGACAGTGACTGATGAAGTTTCACTACCAACTAAAAGAGCCTCGATTACCTGAGTCCATGAGTCGTCATCCGTAATTGATGCTCCAGGTTGATTAAGTGCAGAAGTTTCTTCGCTGCTAAGTTTCTGAGAAGAGGACTCGGACAGAAGTGACTGTGCAAATCTGATGAGTAACAACAGTTCTTCTGGATTCTTGGATTCCAATGGGGATAGAGCACAATGAATACAACCAAGACCAGGCTTCTTTCGAAACTCAAAGTCTCGGATCTCACTACAAGATTCTCGATTGCCAGATGTGATACAGACCGAGACTTTTCCTGCATCTAGAGAAGGGGTCTCACACAGTATAACACCTTCTTGAATAATCCTTATAGGGACTTCAGTGTCGCCAAACATGCAGGCCCATGCCGATTCAGAGGGGTCAGAGAGAAAAGAACCGACTATCAAAACCTGCATTCACAGATTAGACGTCAAAATTGGACCAAAAAGAGTCCCAACGACAACTCAACAGGGAAGCCTGCCAAAACCACAAACAAAATAGCAGTGTACCCAACCACAAAGACTGTGGAAGCTAATCCCGAGAAAGACATCCCATGGAAGCTGAAGAAAGGTGATGGCTAACCGGTTTGATAAATTCAGGTTAAACAAACATTGATTACCTGGAACAATTATAATCAACAGCAGTTCCAGTTGCATTAGTATGTACCCGTTTTCAGGTTTCTGATTATAAACCAGTAACAAAAGCAAAAACTATTAGTAACCAATACCCTGTAATAATCAAAAGGCTTTCCGAAAAATCATCATATTCACCCGACCAACATGAAAAACCTGGTCCATAGCAGTCATTCAGCTCCGTTCGGTTTTTTGGTCCCCAGTCAACTGTTAGAGTTCATTATGTGGCCTAATGGTTCCAGTTTCTTATATTGAATCCGTAATGCTTATATGGTTTGGTTAGCAGACGGAACCGGTTAGGCACCCCCCTATGCTACCTATACTATTCTAGTTTTGCATCGAGATCTTGCATCAAACAAATGTCCAATGCCATAAGGGCCTTTATCAATCATGACTGAACTATTCAAACAAATACAATAAATCAACAGAGAGGGGATAATACTGTGACCAAAAGAGAAAAGTAGCTAGCTGCCAAACAATTTCATATAGAAAGATAGCCAGACAGTTACCTTTGTAGCCTCGTAGCAATAACCCCACTCTGGACAAATTTCCCGGATTGTAAATTTCTGATGTTGACCAAGGGTCAACTGGGAGTCTGCTTGATCATGACTGTAGAGCATTGGGTAGTCAAAATTGACTGGTTGACTTTCCAGACCAGAGTATCCAAGAACTTCAAATTTTCCAACTTCAGGAAGCAAAACAGAAGCTGAAAAACAGGCAAGGTTTGTCAACAGCTTCATGGGGGTTTTCCAGATTATCGAAGTAACAATGGAGCATAAATTCAAACAGAGCAACCCTTACATTTTTCAGAATTATTTCCGCCAAAACTTAGCCAATCTGAAGGTTGATATTCTTCAGCAGGCTCCCTCTTTAAGCCAGATGCCAAGTTTTCCTGTTCCATAAATTAAACCATGGTTTAGACAATCAAACCGGAGGAACTCCTCAACCTGATGAAGTGCATCAACTTTAGGGCCTCCAAATGCCTCACCTTGTAGTCAATATGTGTTGGAGGTGTGCAGGATCCAAGAACTTCATTCCATTGTGGTGATTCTTGCGTTCCACTAGCACGGTCAAGCACATACGATGAACAATCTGCAAAACTACCATCTAAAATTGTCGAAATTTAGAAGTCATGCAGACCGTCCAAACATGAAGTACAACAATAACAGGCAAATTGAAGTCTTTGTTCTTCTACAATATGTTCAATCAAGTTGATATAAAATCAAATCAAATAGATCCTCTTTTTCTTTCCAAATGATTTATTGTACTGAAACTACATCTTAAAATGATTTACTTTACCTTTTGTTTCTTAAGAATGCAAATGCTCAATGTTTCTCTAATCACACAACCATCAAGAATAATAAATAAAAAATTTAAAGTCGTTTAGAAATTAACATCTTTACCCTTTGAATACCCACTACGCAATCATGTATCTGCTATTCATTTGCCTCATCTATTATTCTTTATGTTTGATCCACAACCTTCCTTTTCCTATAATACTTCAAAATCTTCTAAATGTCAAATTTGCATGATAACACAAGTATGACACAAAGATGAAAGATGACCCGGTATGGCAAAGGGAGAAGTTTATGAAATGGAAACCAAGTTTACAACCATGGGGTAAAAACACCATTTTTGTGATGGTCACACCACCCTTTCACTTTCCCCGCCATTTTCTAATACAAAGCATTATTTACCTGTTAAAGAACCTGAGGAATGTTAAGAGAAATAGAAGCAAGGAGGCATGGGAAAAACCTGGGTTCTGAAACAGCTGATTGTTTGACTTCCTTTCCATCCCTGCATTGTGATCATGATAAGCTTGGAAAGATTCTGGTCTGCCAACAGCAACATCAGACTGATCATGCTTGTCGGTTTCAGTTCCAAATTCCAGGACTTCTGACTGATTACCAGCTACTTCACCGCTATTAAATGGAACGAGGTCTGAGATTAAGTCCTCGTTCAAGCTTAGCTGCTCCTCCAGCCTTCGGAAAAATTGATCGACCTCATTGTTTGCATTTGTAAACCCAGATGTATTAAACCCATCACTTCCCTTGACAACTACCTCAGAAGTAACTTCGATGGACCCAGGACTAGCTGAATTTGTACATGCTTCACCTGAATTACTGATTATGGAGGTAGATCCTTGATTATTAGTAGTATAACTTGAGCTTTGACCAAGATGGTAGGAGGCTCCTGGAGATAATTGAGCAACAGATCCAGAACCTGTTCTTCCCTGCACATAGCCGTGACAAGTTGATGTATCAGCAGCCAGTTATAGCTACGAAACTAAATGTATCCAACAAAGATTTCACATATTATCTTGGACCTCACCTCATTGATCTCTCTATAGTGTACAAGAACAATATGGTCACAAGCCCTGCAAGTAAAAAGAAATATGTGAGATATGATGTCTTTTTAGTTCCCAACATGAATGGTTCAGCCAACATATTCTAGCCTAGTTTTAGCTACAGTACACATAGATGGCTAATGTGATGTACATGCCATGTAATATCTTAAGTCACCACTCACCATAATTGCATGCATTAGATGTACATGATTATAAATTTTGTTTTAATTAGATGTCAGATTTGGACCTAGCAGAGAAAGAGTTTAAATGTACAAAATAGACAATCATGGAAGTTGACTTAGTTGAGCAACACTCACGGGTCTAGCATCCAGTAGCTGCGCCTCTGAAAATTTGGGTTCTCTTCTCCATGCGCATAATAGCAATTCAAAGTTTCAACATTTCCAACCTGCACATAAACCGATTTTTACCTCTCAACATGTACACAACTAGCCAATGCACCATGACTCAGAGGTTACATCCATTTCTAGGACTTCAGTTGCGAGACTAAGGGATTGTGAATATTTAAGTACTTCATACACGACACTCTAGAAAATTCCAGATATTCCATCTTGATAAACCAAGACTTAACGGACGGATAGAAATCAAAGTATCTCTCTGCAAAATTACCTGCCTGAACCATGACGTTCAGCAATTAAAAAGAACTCATGTTCTGGTTAAACCCTTCAGATATTTTTCTAAATATGCACACTAGCACTTTGTTCAGAGACAATCAGAACCAAAAGTTAAGCAAATTTGTCATAGAGCTAATGATCCATGGGAAGAAGTTAACTATTACATTGTAAAACTTCTCTCTTCATTCATCTAAAATATGAGTAACCTCAAGCACCATAAACCAAAGAGACATCACCTTAAGTCTTTCATGTGCTTCACCAACAGTTCTTCCATCTCTTTTCTTTCGCCAGCTATGACCATCCTTACGAAAGAACCGAGTTACCCTCTTATTGAAAAGAAACAGTGATCCACCTATCAAACAACCAGATAATTTAAAAGGTACTGTCAATAACTGTTCCATGACAGGTACATGGACTACCACAAACATAACAACAGACTGTTCCCTGCTTATTCCCCAAGAAAAGAAGATTACCAGACGGCTTCGTAGGTGGCTCTTGGGTAAACTGGTACTTGTCCGAATTCTGTAGTATGAAGTGCACTTCCACGGGCTTCAACCAGCGTGATTGAGCTTCTTGTAGTAATTGATTAATGTCGTATCCTGAGAAAATTCACAAACAAAGGCATTGCAAGATCATACAAACTGCCAATCAACCTAAGGAGAGGGGAACTTTAGGCAGAAATGGATCATATTACACTATGGAACAAATCGAACAAGAACTCAAACCCTCTACCTTGCACAGCCATTTTAGGCTCCCCAAACTTCAAGGAATTACAGAGAAATCACTAGTCTCCATTCTTTGTAACCAAACGCGTGGGACATTTCTTCTCAGGACCAGCCCCAAACAGGAAAGAGCTATGAACCTAATCGTAGCGTGAAAGAGTCTTTAGGCTTCTTGCAGGATATTACCAACGCGATACGCTGAAACGGTGACGAAATCAAGCGCCGATCAATGAACACGTACGTTTAATAGAAGCAGAGCAAGAAACGTACTCATCGAATTTCTAACAGAAGTAAATCTTTACACCATAGAAGACGTTCAATTCTACAAGTTCCGTCCAAGAAGGAATGGCGGAGAAACCATCTCAGTCTCTGCTCTGGACTGGAGAGCCTCCGCACCGGCCGCTCGGTTCCGGAGACAGCTCCGTATTCGATCGAGCACGGAAACAAAGAAAACCTAGCCGAATTCGAGGCGTTTCGGCGCTGAATCAAGAAAATTCCGGAAACAGCAGGTAAAGGTATACCTTCAGTCCGCAGTCGCCGCCGGAAGAAAGTTTGTCGTCAACGAATGAGAATTACCTTCAGTCCGCAGTTGCCGCCGGAAGAAAGTTTGTCGTCAACGAATAGTGCAAGAAGACGACGGAGCAGCGGGAGAGACGCCGCGGAATCTTCGACGGAGCAGCAGGAAATGGGTGTCTGAGCTTCTGACTTCTTCCTTGGGAGAAATAGAAAAGAGAGCGGGGAGGGGAGGAGACTTTCTTTGACTAGCGCCGCCTGCCTGCCTGCCCGTCTGTCTTCCGTACACTGCAGTTTCGTTGGGCCTCTTTACTTCTTTCGTTCTTCCTGAAGCCCAATGATGGAAATGACGAGGCAAGAGAGTGCGAATACGTCGGCGCGTAAAACAACTAGAGGGAATGGTTGGGTGCGGCCGTGGATACAAGAAAGGCGTGGACTCGTGATGACATTGCCCCGTTTCAGCTCCTTGATTCCGCAGATTACCGTCCGTTTGACCGAGTGCATTTCGGTTAGGTGGAAGGTTGTCAAATCGGTTTATAATGATACGTCGGTTTGATAAAGAGTATGGTTGGTCGATAATACAACCGGTTTATAAAAGTTCATGTCGGTTTTCGCAAAATATGTACGGGAGTGGGAATTTATTAACACTAAATGAATTTAGGAATGTATACAACATATTTGAAGACAATCTTTTCAAAATCAACATATATATATATAAATAAAGTACAACATTGCAGACAAAATGAAAATTTCGTATTTAAATATAACATATAATGCCAACATCCAAAAATTTATACTTTAATCCAACAAATATCATAAAAATCTAAACATTCATATTTGAATCCAACAAATAACATCAAATTCAACAAACAAATTAAAAGTTATTTTTTGTCAATTAAATTAACCAAAACAGTATCATTTGGCAAAAACTCAATCATGCCTACTATATATAAGCATTCCAATTGGTATTAGTTAGAATCCACTTGGTATTAGTTAGAATCCAATTGTACCGCCCAACGTGCCACCTATTGACAAATAATTATGGACTCGTTTGGATGAGGAATTGTAACGGATCAATTTGACACAATTGTCTTGTTTGCCAGCAAAAAATCAGGATAGATCAATCTGCCTGAGGCATTTTGAATTGATCCGTTTTGAGTCAATTTCAATTATCTGGGGTGGGGGCAGGTAATTCGAATTGACTCGTTTTAATTGCCTCGTTTATAAAACGAGACAATTGATCAAATTGACTCATTTCTTGATTGATCCATCAAATTGACTTATGTGTGCGTGTGCCTGACAAATTTGAACTATAGTACCGGTATTTCTATATATAAAAATTAGGACTTTGCTGCGGTGACATGCATGTCACTGTAACTTGCACTTTTCGGTCGACCTAATCTGCTATTTCAGTTTTGCGAGGTTCAACGAAGCGGTTGACCTTTTATAGCAAATGGTCGACCTCTTTGGGAAGCGAACATAATTAAAGGTCGACTCATATACCTCAAAGGCGACCATTTTGCACTTAATAGGTCGACCACGTCGAAGGTGAGGTCGACCTAAAGTAGCTATCGCCGTCATCTTGTCTAATGTGTAATTTGCACCGTTTAATTTGATGTTTTTTTGCGTGCAGAATACCATTCGGTCGACCCTTATCTCAATCAGGTTGACCTCTGTTTGACAATTGCTCGAAATTGAATTTAGGGCACAACACTCGGACTTCTGTACTTGCGAGGTAAGTAAGATCAAACCCAATAGGTCGCCTAATGTTTTTCAAGGTCGACCGTTTCTGTTTGTTTTGGTTGTTCATCTTGAATGTCGACTTTGACTTTGTTTGTAAGACTATGCTGTGCTTAAAAGGTCGGCCGGTCAATGTGTATGGTCGACCTATCTGTTGTTTGTGGTAATATTACACTTGCTTTTGTTGATAAATTGGTATTTTTCCTGCTGGATAGGTCGACCTAGGAAGAGGAAAGGTCGACATAAATGATTTTGGTAGCGACAAACTGTCTTTAAGGTCAACCTAATAATAGGTCAGGTCCGAGCACGTATTTGTTTTTGGTAAATTGTGCAAAATTGAAGTTGAATTATGATTTGAATTTTTCTTTAAATTGTTTAGACGATGACACATGATGAGAAACAACAACAAGATTTGGTTCTTATCATGAAAGTGTTGAAAGCCACACAAGAGCATCTGGTGGTGTGTCAAAAAGAATTCAATGACTATCAGAAGTCCATTCGTGATACAATGGAGCAATTGTCAGTTCGATTGACAGATATGACTGGTATGATTCATGAAGTGCAAATTACGGTGACATGCATGTCACCATAGGCGCACCCTAATATATGAGATAGAAGTGTCGGCTGCTAACACTACAAGAAAACTCACATATAGCGCCTAATTGTTGAGACAAATATTGTATTTGCCTCTAAAAGTATTAGATATGCAACACATACATAATTTGCCTCAATAGTCACAATTATGTGCCTCTAAAAGTATTAGATATACTACACATACATAATTTGCCTCAATATGCAGAATTATGTGCTTCTAAAAGTATTAGATATAATTTGCCTTTATAGCACATAAGTTTTCCAACTCCAAAACCTTTATAACGACTAATAATTCTTTTGCCGGAATCATAGTTAGTAAAATACGGTACGGGAAAGTTACGTATAAAATACGTACGGATATTTTACTTCGTCTGTATGCTAATGTTACGTTTAATAGTACGTTAATTGTCATAAATATAGAAAAATTAATCATTTTAAAAATAAATAAATATATAAATAATAGTAAAGTTAGTAATTTAATTCATTAAATACGGATATTAAACGTGTTATACGAGTTTTATACGTGTTTAATACGGGAGCCATCAAATGAACGGACAAAAATGAAACGGCTTGACAATAATACGGATACGGAAGTTTTAAACGGATAAAGTACATACGGGTACATATACGTGTATTAAACGGAGTATTTACTAACTATGGCCGGAATAGATGTTTAATATTTCTCGCTATAACTATTTAGCTTTTAAACACCATACTTAGTTTAAAATATAAAAAATTACTTGAGTTAAGTTCATTTAGATCAATATATGCCTCTCCAAAATATTTTTTATAGGAACAAATGCCTCTACAAAAATATTACATGGCTTATGGAGGCAAATGTCAACAATGGCTATTGGTAATTCCAATAATTAAGTGAAATAAACGATGATTGCGGTTGATTAAAGCGATCAAGGCAAATCGCTGCAAACCGCAACGAACTAATGCATTTCGTTTCTAGTTGCACCGGACAAGCTTCATAGATGTATAGTTCCTCTATTACAACAACAAACCCGCTTCATCTTCGTATAGTTTGCTTGTCACGACAACGAACAAGCTTGATCGCTGCTAGATACCGTGACGCATAAACTAGTTCTCTGGTATATCAGACAAAGTGTAGTATATTGAGAAATTTTTACAAGAGATTTTTCCAAAAATAGCACTGTTTAAAAAAATTCCAAAAATAGCACCCAACTCCGAAAAATTCCAAAAATAGCACCATTTTTGTAAAACCGCCACCCGGAGGTGCGTTTTTCGATGAAAATGCCACCCGAGGGCGCGTTTTTCGATGAAACCGCACTGATAGGGAGCGGTTTTGCAGACCGCACCCCCAGGGTGCGTTTTGGTTGCAAACCGCACCCCTAGGGTGCGTTCTGCCTTTTTTTTTTTTTGAAAAATCCTAACTTAGGTGGAAACTTCAAACGAACGTATCTTTATGTTCGGGTATCCGATCGTCGCGATTTTTTTTGATTCCGCATAAATTTTTGAGATCTTGCAAGCCGAAGACTGCCAAAGGTGGTTTGGTCTCGCCTTCGTCCCAAAAAATGTCGTTTGCTACCCTGAACGAACTTTTTTCCGATTTCGTCAAACTTTGGACAACCATAACTTTGTGCTCCAAAATCCAAACGGCATGAATTTTTTTTTATTTCGCATAAATTTTTAAGGAATACAACTTTTATCATAGACATAATTTCAAAATGTACGTGGATTGCTGAGAAGGGAAGATAAGCTATTCCCAAAATCCTGTATATCCAAAAATAATTCCTGTTTTGAAAATACATTCCTAGTGAAAATTGTAGTCCTTAAAAAGTTATGCGAAATAAAAAAAAATCATGCCGTTTGGATTTGGAGCACAAAGTTACGGTTGTCCAAAGTTTGACGAAATCGGAAAAAAGCTCGTTCGGGGTAGCAAACGACATTTTTTGGTACGAAGGCGAGACCAAACCACCTTTGGCAGTCTTCGGCTTGCAAGATCTCAAAAAGTTATGCGGAATAAAAAAAAAATCGCGACGATCGAATACCCGAACATAAAGATACGTTCGTTTGAAGTTTTCACCTAAGTTAGGATTTTTTTTTTTTTAAAAAAGGCAGAACGCACCCTGGGGTGCGGTCTGCAAAACCGCTCCCTACCAGTGCGGTTTTCATTTAAAAACACACCTCCGGGTGGCGGTTTTACAAAAACAGTGCTATTTTTGGAATTTTACGGAATTGAGTGCTATTTTTGGAATTTTTTTTTAAACAGTGCTATTTTTGAAAAAATCTCTTTTTACAAGTCAGTCTAGTATTTTGGGGCAAAATCCACCAAAGAGGAATTTGGGCTCGGTTTGTAACAAAAGAAAAGGGAGGGAGGGGTTGGGCTCACATGAACCAATGAGCTTTAACTCGGTTTTTACATCGAAGCCCAGTGAACGGAGCTACAGATCAACTTACTTAAGAAACTGCTAGAAAACAGAAGAGGCAACTCTGTTTCGAGTCTCTAATCCCATATCAGTGCACAAACACCCACAGTCTCTGGCCTCTGCCACGGCATGCAAGGCCTAACTCAGAGTTGCACTCTTTTTTCTTACCATTGCAATTGTTGGTAAATCAGAATACGGTGTAAAATGTTGTATTATTATTGGAACCACATAAGGTTTATATAGAGTACAAAAAATGACTTCTATAATAACCCTAACACTAATATGAAAACTACCTAACTTCTACAACTCTAATAAGAAATATAACTCTGCCCAATTACATAACAGTACTCGTAATATAACATAATACTACTCGTATTACCTATACTCTATTTTAACATCTCATGTTCTTCCATGTGTATTAGACAGACCATTAGGCAAAGAATGTTCCACCACGTGTTGGGAGAATAAAGGAAGCTACCAAAAAAAAAAAAAATGGAACGCCAGATTGATTAAGAAAGGAAAGTAAAGGAGGGAGCCCAGACAGTAGATTTGGAGGTCACTTGGCGAAATCTTAAGTCGTGGACGGAAAGCTTATAATTAGCCATCTACGAACTAAAGCGTTCAATCATTAAACTTAATAATAACCCCAGAAACAAAAAGTAAATTAAATATAACAAGAGGATAATCTTGGAAAAGAATCACAAACTAAACTCTGCCACGTGCAGCAGAAGTAGCTGTCCAGATCATTGCACACCGAATGTGGCAATTACGAATACAACTTATTTCCTTGTGCCAGGAGAGGATTGGTTGTTTAGTTACTTCTTTGTTAACAACTCATCTTCTTTATTTTGTTTGGAATCAATCGCATTTAGGCTCCTACACTATGAAAACTTAACAATTCCATTCATTTCACTAAAATTTTCAGCATTTTTGTTATATTTACCTCAAAAGTGGTCAGATAGATAAGAAATGAGAAGTCTTTACAAGTAACAAGCACACAGCAGAGAGTAAAAGAGACGATGGTAAATGAAAGTTCATTGATAAGAGAGCCTGTTCTTGCCAGAAGATGAACAAAATTTTCATATATTTTTTTAGTGTGGACTGAATCTCTAACATAAATATTGCAAAATTTATCAAATCCTACTAATCTAACAGAATAATAGCAACCATCTATGGATCATAATTACATCATGAAAATCATTGAAAAACATACATACGAGAAAAAGGTACATTATTTCTTTTTCGAATTCATGTTAATTAGGGTATATTAGTCGGATCTATGGAGGAACAAGATTCATCAAAATACATATTCTTACTGTTCTTCGAGAAGTTTTCGATGAACTTAACAAGATTCTGTTTTTATAAAACCTACCCATCCAATATGAACTCATACCACCAATTGCAAAATTTCATCAAATGTGACAATATTGCTAATCACAATAAAAAGAAAAGAGAAGTCCAAGAGCTCATTTGATAAGAGTATCAAAGTTCAGGGACCAAAGGTAAACATTTAGACGCACAATGATCTCATCATCAAAAAAACTTGTGATACAAGGAGTCGAGTCGGTTCTTTCCTTTTGCCTTTATTGCCCAGATTCTTTGCTTCCTCAACCCCACCACCAGATCAGATCACCGCTAGCTAGGCAACTAAACCAAAAAAACACTCTGTTTCCACCTTCCCCCATACTCTGCTATAAAAACCCAAGTCCAAATCACAAGTAGCCACTCACCTCTCTAACTCTTTGTCTCTCAACTTCCCAATTGTTTCCCTCGAGGCAGAGAAAAAAAGCAATGGCGGATTGGGGGCCGGTAGTGATAGCAGTGGTGCTGTTCGTGCTGCTGAGCCCAGGGCTGCTGTTCCAGCTCCCAGGGAGAGGCAGAGTGGTGGAGTTTGGGAACATGCAGACGAGTGCGATGGCGATATTGGTCCACACCGTCCTCTTCTTCGGCCTCATCACCATCTTCTTGATCGCCATTGGAGTCCACATCTACACTGGATAGTGGCAGCTATAGCACTAGCTAGCAGCCCCTCTGTTTTTGAAATCCTCTTTCTTGTGCTTTTAATCTCTTCCTTTATGTGATTTTTGTGAATTTTATTTTATGCGAGTGGTTGGTCTTACTCGGATTTGGACTTGGTGTTTCTTTTTTGGGCTGAATGATCAACGTAACTGTGTTGAGCTCAATAGCTGTAGAGTGGCAAAAGCAAAGCAAAGCACCACTCTGTAAGTTCACCATCATCAACCATACAAATTCCTACAAAAGAATCTACAAACTATAAAGAGTCTCTCTATATTGATTTGAAACCAGCATCTGCTAAATCCTCTTCCAACCCTTTTTCCTATACTTCGCTAACGTACGGTAAAGTTTGGACAAATTGCGTCTATCGTCGTCTGTTCAACTATACGAACCACACCTGACACCACCATTAAGCTGGTTCCATTTACGGAATATAAACAAAGTAACAAACTAACACTAGTCAATGGCCCGGCCGGTTGGCCGGATTTATTTGTCAATCGCGTAAATAGTAGTAACAATTTTTATGTGAGCTTTGCGTTTATTTGGTAGTATGTTTAAAAATAAAGGTATATGAAAATATTTAATATTTGGTAGCGTAAAAGAATTCAAATTATTTAAATTCTTCAATCATTCGATCAAAAGATGACATCATAGTGTTTTTTGACATTTTATCCGAATATCGAGTAATAATTGTTTTACCAAAAGTGAAAGACAAACCGTATGCTAGGGAACCGACTCCCTAAAATTTTATGAAAAAAAACCCTCCTCATTGTCAGATATTACTTGACTTTTTATTTTTTTGTGTTTGTAAAGGTCGAATAATCTATCGACGTCGAAGTCCAATATGTGGGAATACCATCTCACATGATGAAATTGGTATATTAAAATTGCATCGTGCGCTATTTAATGAGCTAAATGCATACATAAAAGTTACATATGTGTTAACTGTAATAGCCCGTGTTGTAAATTACAGGGACTCGATTAAGAAAACGGATGGCGATTCTCCCTATTGGTAATTCTACTCAAATCCATATTAGGTCGATGATCATGGGTAATCAATATTTTTAAGAATGATCGGTTTACACATTTTTTATGAGGTTGTTTAATTTAGACATACCTAATGAATCAGATTTGTAAAAGGCAAAAAGTTCCGTATGAAATGTAAGCAAGAAGTTTGTAGATACCAAATTTCTTTTTTTTTTCCCAGTCCTTTCGGGGACATTCGATAAAAAACAAATTAGGTATGTGTACAATTATTTTGAAATTTTATGTCAATAAAGTGACTTAAGGTGTTGAATCCTCAAATATATTAAGTTGAGGTAGAATAATATAATGTTTCTATGAGTATTGTTACACTCCCAAATCAAACAATATAAATATGTACCATGCCAAATAATTGGGTATGTGTATTTTAGGCGATTCTGATAACTATGCCTAATAATGTTTCAATTGATTTAGTGAATGATAAGTAGGTGAACTGATGATCAAATCATGTAAACAAAATTCTATGATTCTTTGTTTGGTTGTTTTAAATCCAATCCAAACGCTCAGCCTCAACCAATGCATATGCATTAATAACATATTGTTGGAACAACTTTTGACACAATAACACTGCATTTGATTCTCCCAGTCTTGTTTGAAGTCTATAACTGTAAAAATCACATTTAGTCACATTCTTCTCGTTGTATTCATCTGCATCATCGTCCCCATTCTCTGAGTATGAAAATATTTGGATGCCAACCATCCTCGCCATATGGGAATAATATGAGATATTGCAAAGCCATTAAACTTGGGTGATATATACTAATTTGTTCCAGTTCATGACTTTGACACCGGACAATAATATCATGAGAAAATGTTTGCTCCCTAGTATCATCAACAATTAAAGCAACAATCTCATTTGCTGATGGCAAATCATAGTCTCTACCATCCCTTTCTCTTCTCGCAAGCAACTTTAGCTCAACTTGTTGATGGTGTCTTCAATCTATTCCTTGCAGATCGAAATGTCTTCTCTAACGTATTCCTTGAATCTAACATCTCCTGTAATTGTTGAATAAATGAATCGCGCAAAGAATTTGAATATGGATCCGTGGAGAAAAAATCTAACCTGAATTTCGGTATGTACCTGTCAGTAGGTATCAGGCTACCGATTCGATGATATACTTGACTTTCAATGGAATAAACATATATTATGTGGCCATCATTGATAGATCGATCTAGTTTACCTCAAATAGAAGTTAATGCAAAGACCCCATTATATCCTCGGATTTGTTCCAAAAAAACATATTCAAAATCTCTGGAGGCTGTCTTCTTGGAGGAAGCTTCACTTTACCTTGTCTACGACACAGCAAAAACTTTGGTGTATTGGAATTTCTCGAAGGTTTGGTACTTTCGCCCTTCCACATCACCACTCCACAATATGCACATTTATATGATGGTTTTCCAATATCAAACACTTCAACAACTACAATAAAATTAAAACTCCAGTATAAGAAATAAATTAGATGATAAACTCTAGCATTATAATAAATTAAGGAAATTGAAATAACCAAAATATCAACAAACCTGGAAAGTCACCAGAACGCATCACTCGAAGACGATTATAACAATTTTCGGCAAGTTTGATGGACCACAACAATTTATTTCTCTTAGATTGTAAGTTATTCATCGCGTTTTGCAGTCCTGTGTAGGAATTAGTAAAATAAGCATTCCTAGCAACTAACACATAATTTGATAAAACATATAAATCGAAAACAAACATGAAACAAATAGATTACCAGTAGAATGTTCACAATTTTTCCATATATAGTCTGTCTTATATAAATAACACATTTCCTTCTTGCTAATTTAGTCAACGGTTGATTAATTCTCTTCAACTCTGACTTATGTGTATCAATGTCTGAAATGTAAATTGGAGAGTAATGATTTTGTAAGTTCAACCAGTATGAAGTAGCTAAAGAGATTATAACAACAGGTACTTAATCAATATTTTATTATGGGGAAAAATATTTCAATGATATTCATACCATCATAATTTTTTTTTTGCACTTCAGATAGAGACTGATTAGATCCACTACACCTTCCGATGGTACGGAAATAGCTCTCTTTTTCCCTGAATAACACATGAAATAGATACATATTAAATTGAAAATATATATAATTATGCTAATAAAAATATTTGTACTTACATTCAATTTTTAATGGTCGAATGGAATCATTATTTGGATCTTCTGATGACTCTTCGCGGGGAATGCTTGTTCTTCGAGTCATAGAACTTTAAAATAGAAGCCGCAAATTAAATTTATTCTAAATGATATAGGCCAATGGTTGATGGTGAAAGGCTTATAATATAAGGACGGAAAAATAAATATGTGACCTGAAAGGAAGGGAATTTTGCAGAGAAGAGTTCGACCGGTTAGCGCTGCTGTCCCCCCTAAGAAGATGGCACTATCAATGGAGAAAAGATCCAACAAATAGACTACTGATTCCGAGGTCAGTGACTTGGAAGCTATCATCGCTTTAAGCAGTTTGCTTTCGTCTTGTTGCTCCTGCTCGTGCTCCGGCATTTTTCTTTTCTAAACTTTTTGGAGATTCTTTTATATTATCCAAACCTATTAAAATGATATTAATTAATTAAATCTTTCCTAATGCATCAAAGTATTAGCCATTTTTACGTTATCGTGAATACTTTTGTAACTCTTTTCTTAGTTAAAATACTAAAATTTTGAAATGTTGACCTTCATGTGTCTCTTCCAAATCAGTATTATGTTGTCAAGTCAATATTACTAACAAAATTGCTAATTGAAGTGAACATTTGACTAATTGTTAGAACTCTAACTATGTATGTTAGGTTTTGATGATTGAATGATTCCGATGCTTGTTTACACTCTTGATTATTATATTGAATTAAAGTATTTCATGAAATTGGTGGGTATTGATCAAACTCTCCAATTTGAGCTATTAACCTAAGATAGAGAATATCCAATTAAGTTGATTAGAGCAATTTTTCAATTCTTCATTGTGGGTTGATTGATCAAGCATGATATTGGGCTACAATGCTGTATTAGATCATAATCCTTTAGTGAGAGTCTAAATTGCATGCCCTAGGTGTTCTATTTTTCCTGTGAAAACTCTCCTTTCAAATAGTGCATCCTATGTGAGTTTGGATAACTCAAATAGGGAGTTCAAGTGGGGTTGGGACTCTTTGCCATATAAATCTCGAGTGGGCAGGCTAAGATCGTCAATATCGATCTAATTTGTAGCTAGAAGGAAGCACACCCGAGTGACTTTATCTCAATAGATTTTGACCAATCTTTACTTGCTTTGCATGTTTGTTTATTAGTTTTTTTTTATGGATGATGAGACCAAATATTATTACCAAATCGAAATAAAAGAAAAAAGAAGATACAATGCCACAAAAAGGCAGAAAAAACCCATACAAATGTGGGGCAAACAAGAAGAAATACAAAAAAAAAAAAAAACATGTTTGTTTATTAGTTAAAACCAAACTTTGATTTGCTAGATAATAAATAGTAGATTGACGCCCTGATTGATAATTAAAGCTTATTTTCTCTATAATAGACCTGATTGATGGTTACACTTGGCATTGGAATGGGATAATATTGTAAAAGCGAATCAGGGGAATTCAGAATTCAATTGGTAGGCCGAGTTAGAAGAAGCCTAGATGATCTCCGGCTGAGGGTTTGCCGATTTGTAGACCTCGAGCAAATTCACAAACGCCGTAATGTTGTTGTGGAAATAAGTATACTGTACGCCGTCCTGGGTATCCAAATGCATGACATGGATGAAATAGACGACGTCAAAGAGCTTGCCGAGCAAATTAACATTGTTGATGTCGCCTTTAAGTGTAGTTGCAAGCTGATTCCATAACACCGTTAACATCGTTGACGGTCACGTAGAACAAACCTGACAGAGTTGAACGGTG